TGGTGGATACGCAGAGATTAAAAAGTTACAATAATAACTGAACTTGAATTTCCTTTACTATTTTTTTCTAATTATGAGTCCAGGCAGTAAGGAAGTTATCCGAGGTAATCATATATAGAATTTTTTTTTAAAAAAAAAAAAAAAAAAAAAAAAAAAAAAAGGCTACTTGAGTACTTTCTTTAAGTGCTAATATACGCCACTTAAATAGTTTGAAAAAAAAGTTTAAATTTATCTAGACATAAACTGAAGCATTTATTAACAAAGGTGTATTAAGTAAAGCATAAATTAATGTATTATGGCGTTTTACTTCATGCAACTGTATACAGGCTATCAAAATTTTAGGAGCGAAAAATCAGAAAAATCAATTAGTGACTTCGCGGGTTTTCAATCGTACCATGGACCTTTCAGTTCTTAACTAGGTGTATTACACTATTTATGCTACCGGGCAGCACATAGGGGTTACGCGGAACTGCCTTATATTTTATAGGAGCAAATACATCGCACAATATTGCTGGAGAACGAATATTCATTATGGAATGCTAAGGGAAAACTGCAGGGTGATTATAAATGACTCAGTGGGTTTTAAAACACTGTATTTTTAAAAAAATAAACAAACATGCATCAAATAATGACACATGGCAATAAACGTTAAGCAGCCAACAGTTTTGTTCATATAAATTTGTAATGTGGCTTCCCTGGGTCATACAACACACGTCTATGCAGTATTCCAGTTCAGTCCACATTTACGTTATTAATGGTCATGAACGCACTGGTAATGCAAGCCTTGAGCTCAACCAAAATTTCCGGCAGTGAGGACATGTAAACAGAATCTTTAACATGCCGCAAAGAAAGAAATCTCAAACTACGAGGTCTGGAGACCGCGAAGTCCAGGGTAACAACCGTTAAGTCACCTTCAGCGCATTGCCCAAAGGAAGCGATGTGGGAGTTCTTCGTTGAGGTAGTAACGCGAATTTTAAAACTGAATTATAAACTTGGATATTTAAAACTTGAATAGTTAAAGTTTATTTACTTGCATCTTTCACCATTCCCTGTGTAATATGTTTTGAAATATGGTATTTAAAAGACCGATGAATCATTTAAAATCACCTTGTACATCTTCCAAACCAAGTAGTAGTGACATTCACTGTAGCATGTAACAAAATTTATTTCCCGAATAGTTACATTTTTTGAAATAATATTAGCTGTTTCTACTGCTCCGGAAAGAAGATACTTTCCAGCTTATAAGTCATATAAGAAATTCAGAGTCTGAATCTCGATTAAATGGACTTGCTTTACTATCCACTTGACGGAATATCCATGTGAATGACTGAGAAACATTTTAAAAGTTATTAAACTTTAAGTTTTATTATAAAACTTTGATTTATCTTTGCAAATTCTTTTAAATAAATAACAAAAAACAATAAACGAAAAAAAGTTCGAAAACAATAAACAAGTAGCTTCACATAGCCTCAGCGGAGAAGTTTTCAAGGGTTTTGACCAACAGTATTTGTTTTTGTGGCTTTCCTGTACGATGTCTGTGAACAGGTGTACTGCCTAAGCATTCAACGGTTTTTCCTATTGCTTTTTCAAGTATAAAAGCTCTGAATAAGCTTTAATAAATTAAAAAAAACTTTTTAGAAAGTTATGAGACAATCATTGCCATGGTAAATGCCTTTTTTCTAAATTAAAAAAAATGGAAACAAATTTTAGCAATAAAAATTTTAATTAAAAGTCTGAAAAACAATTGAATGTTCATTCGGAATCTAAGGGAAACTTTCACAAAATTGTCACTGATTGAAAACGCGTGATAGTGCCAATGACTACTTTGAAGTAGACAAGGATAGTGGAATCTGCACAAAAAGTGCGCATGCTAAGTTTTAAACACAGTTGGTTTTAAGTTTTGGACATGCTAAAACACATGGACATTTTAAGCAACATATGGACATTTTAAGACGTTTTAAGCAAAATTTATTAATCAATCATATCTACATCACAGTCAACTTTAATTCAAAATTTCCAAAGGCCTCTCGATTTAAAAGCATAATTTTAGAATCTTTATTGAATGAATACATTATTGTTCAACAAAATTCCCTCAATATGTCAATTTCAGCAATTTGACAACTAAATTTCTTCATAACTTAGCTACTAGTGTAACAAAATTAATTAAAAAATTAAATTTATTTCAGTAGCATTTTAAATATATCATTTATTTGAAATTATTATGAAAATTGAAGCATTCTATGAATACTTTATGAATTACGGTACATAAATATGTCTTATTTTTTGTTTATTTTAAACAAATTTCCTGTCATTGTTATAGAGTATTCCATGCTCTATTGTCTCTTGTCTTCTTCTCCGAAAACAAAAGTCTATGTGTAATCCTACCACTAGCTGACGTAAACTGTCAGAAGTTCTGAATCTTCTCTAGTTTTCAGCATCTTCAGTTAGGTAAACATTGCAAATTCGCTCCGTGACTTTATTGGTCTTGTTGGGGGTCATAATGTAGTTCGTCTTAAAAACTTAAGTTAGAAAGCTTTTATCAATAAAATAGGTTGCAAAATTATGGAAATACTTATATATAATTTGATTATGTGCAACTTGATATGATTTTATTTAAAACCTTGTTAATACAGTTATTATAATCCAAATTCTATTTAAAAAATATTAACTTACTTTTTCTCTATCATAGTCAAATACTACATCCATATCATGTGCTTGATTTCTAACTCTGATAACCTTGATTTCTTACTACGAAGATAACCTTGACAGCATTTCGCACTCATAGTCGAGAAAATTCTCTGATCCAGTGAAGACATGATACGTTTCGTAAATAAAAAGAAGAGTTCAAAACTTAATACTAATGAGATACTCCTGAGAGAGTTCGCGTGTACGTAGATCGTTTCAAAGAATGAATGCAGTTGCTGTCGGATGAAATAAAATGAACTGGAATATCTACGGGAACCCACAGTTCTGCTAATGCAAAAGGAGGAAAAATTATAATAGTACAATCTCAGCAGTTTTCTAAGTCGTAATGACACTTCTGAATTTTCGAGCATTTCAACTCAAATATTCGTGAAGATATCCAGGAAGCATTTGGGAAAGTCGCTTTAGTATTTCTGTAAACAGAAGTCAAATGCAATGCTTAACTTACAGTGTGATAATTGCATGTGATAATTTCGAATCTATCATAATTGCCTAAAATTCTATGGTAAACCACCAAAAATGGTTTACAAAACCAGTTATTTCCTCTGAAAAAACTAGAAAAATGACTTTTCGCAATTCTAAGCATAATATATTTGGTAAATGTGAGGTATAACACAAAATATTTTAAATGCTAATTTGCTCATAATAGTGCAAATTTCCCCAAAAATGCTACTAGATTTTTAGATTTTTAGAGCTGCTAAAATTTTTCTATCTTCTTAAAGCCTAAAATATTTTTTTAAAAAAGAAAAAGCATTACCTTTATAAGTATTAAAAACATACTATAAGCAGATATTCTGCTTCTGTGTAAAGCTCGTAGCAAATCTTCTTGAAAAATGAAGGACAAATTACTTTTAAACTTATGAAAGAATAGAAATTTGACATTCCTTTCATATTTTTTACACTTCTCGTTCACTTATATTCATTTTTTTAGTTGATCAGGAAAACAGGACATCTGCATCATGCTGCGCCCTTATTTAAAAATGGAAAACGAAGTTTCGATTAAAAAAAAAAGAGAAAGTCCAGCGATTATCATTTCTTATCTGGTTCTTACCAAGATAAGAAGATATTAGAATATTTTTAAATGCAGAACAGACTTTTGAGGTGATTGGTAATTGTTAAAATTAACTATTTTTAATCTTAGTAAACAGTACCTTTTTGACGAATCTAATCTAAATTGTAACAACATTTTCAAGATTTTGTAGTTTTAACTATTAGTTATAAGATCGATTTTCTTTCTTATACTTTTCGTAAGATTTCTGCTTATATATAAAAGCTATTTCTTATTTATAGAAACTTTTAATTAACTGTGAAAAGGCGGAACAGAAATTCTTTTAATTTTCAAATTAAAGATCAATAAAAAAAATAATGTCTTTGAATTACCAAATACTATAATAAATTCTGACTGGAAAAATAAAATATTAAAATTCCAATTAGAAAATCTTTTCCAATTTAATTCCTGTAAATTTCAATAAAGTGATGGGTAAAAACAAATAAATAAATAAATAAAACGTGATAATTAAAATCAAAAGCTCATAAAAGTTTATTTAAATATGTTTCTCTTCTTCATGAGTGATTACTAGTCATATATTTTTAATAAGCTCGTAATATTAAGGCTTTCTCATTTAACACGGCTATGGCTCTCAGATTACTCTCTCACCTTTTGTTTTTCATTAGCTTTAAATTAAAAAATCTAACAAAATAAACTTTAAATAGCTTTTTTTAAGCACGGAATTAAAATTTACCTTTCATTATAATATAATTTTATATGCTTTAGAGTTTCAGCGAAACTGAAAAAGCGCATTACCTAAATAAAATGCATCTTTACAGAAATTTATTACTTATGAAAAAAACGCGTAAGAAAAATCAACCGAGAGCTGTATACCCGTTTTAAGAAAGATTTTAAGAGCAAACAAATATTAGCTACATTTATTAAACGTTTCAAGGTAACAAATAACGAATGACCTGCTATATTTATATTCGAAAGAAAAATCATTATCAAGTAACAAAATCTCACCTCAAAATTAACAAAACTTCATGTTTCACAGCTAATTCAACTTCGAGAAATATGCTATTTACAGAAATAGTATTTCCAGCCTACAATAACTTTCAGAATTAAAAAGCAAATAGTTAATAAATTAAAAAAACTCTTTAAAAACAGAAAAAAAGTACCCTGCGAAATTAAGAGTATTAAAATAAACATGCGCCACAAAGCGAAAATCAAAATATTATATAAATATCAATTTCTTCTGTCATCGTTCGTAAATCTGAATCAAAATGAATACGATATCAGTACTCACAGCTTTTCTCTTTAGCTAGAGGAGAGCTCCGAGTTGCGTCAGCGAAGATGCTCCTTCAGCGTTTCAACGTTCAAGAGCGCAAGTTTCGATTTAACAGTACTAACTGCTCGCGGGAACTTTATAAACCGGCGAGCGGCGCAGTAATTGCCAATCTGAGCATTGACCGTGAAGTCTTATCCACCGGTCTGAACCGTTTTCGCGTACAATCGTGTCCGGTTTTTCCTTCTTTAGTTTATCGTGCCTTCTTTCTTATTTTCATTTTTATCACCATCAGATGCGAGTAAATTCCTCGCATTTTCCTATCCTACATCATTTAGCTGTCGCTTGTCCAGCTGGAAGATGAACTATACGGAGTGCTAGCAAGAGTGGATATCTTTCGAATCTATTGTTTTTTTTTTTTTTTTTTTTTTTTTGCCAAAATATGCCCTCACCCCAAGGAAAAAAAATCATTTAACCCTTGTTTAATAGTTATTATCTTTCAAAAATGACGTTCTCGAGTTTCGTATAGGGAAAATTTATGCATCGTTTAGTCAATCATTTAGGGCTTCTGACTCATTTACTTATTTGTTTTTCAGTTTTGAAATAGATTATTTGGTAAAGCTTACTTCTTTTCCTTATTGTGATTTTCACTTATTTTTGAGATCAAATTTTAAAAAAGCGTGAGTATGGCTGAAATTCGACGTCAGGATTGCAACAACATTAATAACTATATAAATTAAAACCTCTTAAAACACCAAGTAATTCATAAATTTTCTTAACTGAGAAGATTTATGTTTATAATGCTGTTTACTTTGTCCACTAAAAGAAAAGTTTCGAAAAGGAAACTTTATTAACTCTGATATCTGAAGTGCGTAACATTGTACATATTTTACACACAGTAAAACTTAACTGCCAGCATAAAAACAAACAAGCTAAGGAAATACTATTCCCGTTTTTTTTTTTAGGAAGTGCATTACTGAAGTTTTTTCTTCAGTTAGCTTATATCATCTCTGTGTGTATATACAATGTGCTCAAAAAAGTTGGTTTTATTTCCTTAAATATTGACAAAGGATATTCATTTTTGAAATTTCTCTGTGGAAGATCAAGAACATTAAGAAATCAGTTTCCAGACTGTGGAGGGAAAAGTTTCTTGTAAATATAAAATCTGGGTTTTGTATAATCCTCGTAAAGCACGAAGTCTGATTAGTCAAATATAAATTATATTTTTTAAAATTAAATACAAAATGTTTCATAAATTTAAACAAAAAGTTGCAGGGATATAAGTTATTAATAATTTCATGCGACCAACTGCGAAATTTCAGGGAATGTTGTTTCAACAGTGCAGAACTATTAACAATCAAAATAAAATTCTAATGTTTTGAAATTGCTTGCTAGATTTAATGGAAAGATGTCGAACTTTGGTTAGTACTAGGTAAAGAAAATTAATCTGAGTCACTAATTTCATTTTCGAATTAACTTCCCGAATTTTGCATGCAAAAGTAGGAAACTTTTTATATTTAACTTTGTGAATATTTTACTAACTGGAGCTTTGTTCTACGGGGACTTTAATAAGTTAGATTTTATATTTAAAGTTTTCTCCTACTCATAATATTGAAACAGTTTTTACAAAATCCTGTACCTTTTATTAAGAATCTTTGTAACTCAAAGCAAAACAAAAGGTACAGCTTTTATTTAACAAAGCCCATCTTTGATCAATTATTTAATTAAAGAAATCTTCATATCCCCTTTTCTCGAACTCCCTCTATAGGTTACCTTATAATAGACCGAATATAAGATGACCTGACATAAGAGATAATTTCTCATATTTTATATTTTACGAGGGAAGAAAGGCTTACATATAATACCGCCTCCAAAGATAAGAGTCTGATATATTGATAGTGTACTGCAATAAGTTTAGTTAAATAGTCTGCTTACCCTCTTGAAGCAAAACTAAGTCAATAAGTATTGATTTAACGTAAAGGTTAAGGGGAAAATGGCAGATTATCTTCACGCATTTTTAAATGTTAGACTGTTTTTATAAGGTATATTGAGTAATAAGGACGTTTTAAAGGAAGGGAAAGAAAATAGAATTTTTGTTCTTCGTAATGGCGGGTTCTAGCCGTTTTTAGGCTTTGGCCATTACTAAGGCCAGAAGTGGTGGTCTCTTTATTATGAAGGCACCTCATTAAGGTGGCCACTCATTAAGGTTAAAAACAAACTGCATTACCCTCTGAAAGACAAACTGCATTCATGCCTTCTTCGGTATTCGAGCCTAGGCCCTTCGGGATGACAGAGTTACTAACCACTTTCCCGCTTGGACGGAGAAAATAAAATCTTATACTGGAATTACGATTTATTACAATACCATTCATTTACATACGACGTGTAAACGCGTATATGTATGTAAGAATAGGAAATGTCCAAAAATCCATTAATGTCTGAATTTAGTACCCCGCGTTTTCTAATAATTTTAATATACACAGTTAAAAGGATAGAAAAAAAGATGACCAAACACATGGAAATTTTTGATACCTTGTCCATTTGCGGACAAAGCATCGGTTTATCGGAATGAGGAAGCTAGAAGAAAAATAAAGTGAACATGTGACAAAAAAAGTAAGTATCAAAATATATATACTCACAGTCATAGTATATACAAATGAAAGCACTTAACACCTTTTGACAAAAAGGGAGCTGACGCTGAAGGAGCATTCTCGCTGACGCAACTCGGAGCTCTCCTCTAGTTAAAGAGAAAAGTTGTGAGTATTGATATTGTTTTCATTTTGATTCTGATTTATTGTGCGATAACAGAAAAAAATTGATATTTATACAATATTTTGATTTTCGCTTTGTGACGTATGTTTATTTTAATACTCTTAATTTCGCATGGTTCTTTTTTTCTGTTTCTTAAAGAGTTTTTAAAATTTATTAACTATTTATTTTTTAATTCTAAAAGTTATTGTAAGTTGGAAATACTATTTCTGTAAATAACATATTTCTCAAAGTTGAATTAGATGTGAAATATGAAGTTTTGTTAATTTTGAGGTGAGGGTTTGTTAACTTGACAATGATTTTATTTCATCTTTAATGAGCCGCCTCCATATAACAAAATACTGAAGAGATAATTTATCGCTTTTGTTAACTGTGTATTATTTATTTATTTATTATGTGCTTCGCCATTAGGCACTACCTGGAAAAGGGAGGAATGCCACATGGAGGACTTTTTAAGGGAAAATGGCTCGTGTTCAAGTTACACATACAGAAAACCACGAAAACGCACATGCAGCCAGCCTGTTCGTCGAGACATGAACCCCGAAGAGCAAACTACCAGTGTTCAGCGGCTTGTAAAGCTCAGCCGCTAGTGGGCTTACTTGTGTATTAGCCGGTGCCCTCCGATGCATTGCCAAAAATACTACACTTGACTAATTTCTACAAGCGATCGACAATTGTAGAAGCTGTCCCTGATTTTTTCTAGAAAATGCGCTTTTTTTTCTTTATTAATATTCTCTTTGTCTCTCTTTTTCTGACAAAGGTAACGTGCGTATGGCTTCATTTTTATTTTAAGGTCAACTTCAAGCCAGTTTGGGCAAGCACATATGTATAATCGTCATTGTTTGCTAATCCTTTTCCGTCGGTAAGTTACAATGTTTGTTCATCTGGTAATCATTTTTACTGCATTTTGAAGCACACATTCATTAGATTTGCCGAGAAAATAGAGCAGGAAGAATTTACTACTTAAATGAATGCTCTATTTTGGCAAAACGTTGTGAGCATTAAAATTCTTCGCAATGAACATGAAGGCAGATACAGCCGACAAAGTGTTAGAATAACAATTGATTAGAAAGAAATCATTTGCGGTTTTATTTAGCAGAGTTCATATGGAGAGAATAACCAGCTAATGAAATTTTGAGTGCAAGTGCCAAACAATACCTACCGAACATAAATTTTTTTAATCTAAATGTTTTCAGATTTTATATTACGCCCAAAGGGGCGTTTTTTTAAACGTTTTGTGTGTTACCTTTATTTATTAAATATCATGTTCTTCGCATTTAAACCGTCAAATTCAATGTCAACAACAATACCACAAAATATTTGAAAGAGCATATCTTTAGAATTTCCGATACACAGTCTCGCGCGTTAAAGATATTTTTCCCCCGTATAGTGTTGCCATTGCTCGCTTTGAAATCTTTGAGTTTCTTAATAAAAACTCATAAATGCTTTAGAAAATACGAAACAGATAATAAAACGAATTCCAAATTTAAAATTAGGGCTTCTAGATGCCCATATTCGGCGCAAGATTACGTTATTTAAAATTTGATATCTCTAGGTGCCGTTGTTTTATCACAATGCGAGAAACATACATACATTTATGCAGATTATTCATTATTAATTTCTATAAATATAATATAGGGCTCTAATATTTTGGTGGCAACAATTCAAAAAGTGATTCGCCGTTTATAGTGAATCAACGCAAGATGCCAAAACGAAATTAATTAATAGCCCTTCCAGGAAAATTGCCCCTTTGGGATAATAAAACATGAATCTGCTCATCTAGAAAGTATGTACTAGAAGAAAGTTTGGCGGGCACTTGCCTATAACGGCATTGACAACTACTAAGGCCAGAAGTGGTAGCCATTTTATTTTGGAGGCACCTAATAGGCGACCACCGTTACCTCCTATGAAGGAACAGATCAATTTTACATCCATACCTTCTCCAGGATTCGAACCCGGGCCCTTAGGTATCGCAGTCAAGCGACCTTAACCACTATACCATCTGGCCAGCTGTACTCGATGAAAATTTAATTGATAAAGGTCTATAGATAAGCAGTTAAAAATTGTATAATATAAAGAGATTTGGTGATACAGAACTATTTGACGTCTTTCCAGATTTGGAAAACGCAGTGTTGAAAATTTGTCGCCAAGCTGAATGATTCATGCAAAGAAATTAGGAAGTGATATAAAAAAGGAAGAATATATATTTTGACTGTCATAATACAATAACTTAAAATGCGAAGGCATCACGAATACTGATGGAAATTAACTTTGAAAATTTAAACCAGACTGCAAAAAAATTTTTGAAGCTGTGTAAAATTACTACAAAAATGTCTCGTATTATAATCATTTTAACGCAATACAAAAAGTAACTCTTTACGTGATGATAAATATGTTG